ACAAAAAACATACATTAAAGTTATCTATAAAAGCCAGAGTTTTAAACAAGTTAACCTTAAAAAAAAAAAGCTGCTAAAATATATGTTACAAAAAACAACAACACTTTAAAACACGTACCAGCTTTACGTATCAGGGTAAGCCTGCCTTAAGAAGAAGGTTTCTAGCAGCTGCCAAAAATAGTACATTGAAGGAGCTTGCCTAATGTCAATGGGCAGGGGGTTCCAGAGTGCAGGTGCTGCTGTGTTAAAATATTGATTGCTTACAGCAGGGGTGGCCAACTCCCAAGAGACTGTGATCTACTCACAGAGTTAAAAACTGGCAGTGATCTACCCCCTTTTGGGGGGTTCAGGTCAAAGTTGTTGAGCTTCTTTGAGGTGAGCCAATGATCTACCAGTGATCTACCACAGCCAATGATCTACCAGTGATCTACCACAGTGATCTGCGATGTACCTGTTGGATGTGCCTGGCTTACAGGTGCAGAACAGACAATTTAGCAATCAGACTATGGGATCTGATTCAGGTTTGGAGGGCAAGTGCGAACCTAGTTGGCTAATTTGGACATTGCAGCAAACTATGCTTATCGCTAAATGGAGAGGAAGCTGTGAGACAGAGGAAAGTGGTGAGAGGAGCTAATGCCAGAGGCTTATTTCCAATCCTCTAAACCAGCAGTTTTCAACATGGGGTGCCTTGAATGAGAGTCAGGGTGCCTTGGGCAACACCGGCCTTTGTCCCTCTTTCCTTCCCTCCCTCCTCTGATGCCCTCTCACATCTCTGCTGCCCCAAGGCTGGAGAAGTATCTGAAGAAGTGTGCATGAACACGAAAGCTCATACCAATAACAAACTTAGTTGGTCTCTAAGGTGCTACTGGAAGGGATTTTTTTTATTTTGTTTCGACTACGGCAGACCAACACGGCTACCTACCTGTAGCCCCAAGGCTTGTTTGCCTCATGTCCACCTTTGGCCAGTCTCTGTCAGGCTGCTAAGGCTGGAGGGCATCCTTTTCCCAGCCCCTATGGGGCGGCATGAGGAGGCACCTCTCTTTGGGGCAGGGGCGGCGACTCAGAGACACCCAAGGAGAGGGGAGAGGAGGCTGAGGGAAGACTCCACAAGGGAGGGTGTTCGAAAAGGGACGAGGGGCTGCCAGCTCTACAGGCAAGGGGTGACATAACTGGGCTTCTGAGGCTCAGAGTGTGTTTCCTCAAAGGGGAGCCGCAGAAAGAATGTAGTTGGTCAAGGGAGCTGTGGACTCGAAAAGGTTAAAAACCTCTGCTCTGAACCATGGTTTGGAGGATCATTTGAATTGAGCCACTGTGACTCTCTAACAAATTGTTTTTTGTGATTTATGACTTCACGATTCTCACCGACAACGTGATTCTAACTATCTTGTTTGGAAATGTTTTACTAAATTGATAGGAATTTACTCCCAGGTAAGGGGGGTCAGGGCTGCAACCTCTCTCTCTCTCTCTCTCTCTCTCTCTCTCTCTCTCACACACACACACACACACACACACAGTACTACCATGTTTAAGACAGGAGCCACTCTCACTTCCAGCTAAGTAATAAATGAAATTGGATCCAAGAATTGCTAAACTGTGAGTCATCCCCAGAGGCTGAGAAACTTTGGGATTACTCCCTGCCTCCTTAATAAGCGGCTATTTGATTTGAAGGAACATGATAAGCATGTCTGTGCATTACTTGCCTTGCCGCCACCCCCCAGGATTAGGGAAGCATTTCCTCCCATTTAAATCTGTGTGGAGTCAGTGTACATCAGCGCCTCTCGCTCCAAACTGTCCCAGGCGTGAAAAATTTATCTTCCACTCACAGATAACTTACCATCTTCCACTTCCAGGAGAGCTTTCGCCAGGATGCTGCCCGCCACACTAATGGCTTGACACATGTAGTAGCCTGAATCTGAAGTCTGCACGTCCATGATGTTCATCTCGCCGCTTGGAGACACAGAAAAACGGCCCATCGCCTGAGGGGGCTGGCTAGGAAAAAGCAGGATCTGCAGAAAATAAAATGGAAAAGAAGTGTTTTCAATTCCCATCCCCTGGAAACATGCAAGAAGAATGTGGCCCTTGGTTGCCAATATGGCCTTGGGTTGCCGTCCAGTTCCCCACTGCCCATTTCCCAGAATGTCTCCCTCTTGAGAGACACAATAGTTCCCCCCCCTTGCTTCTGTGGGATGTTGTCATGGGAGCAAAAAGAGGTAATGAGTGAATCTCCAAAGATGCTGAAGAAAAAGGTACCTTGTATTTGTAATGAAATATATTAGTATGTCTTGTAGGTGGGGGGGCAAGGAAGTTATGCCTGCCGTGAGTGAAATGCCATCCTCTTGGAAAGCTTTCCCCTTCATCAGCCTAGTTCCGACATAACAGGAAGCTGTGGTTTCCTGCTGCGTGAATGAGCTGTGGCAAGTCTTGGGCTCATGTGCCTCCCCCTCCCTTATTTTACATGCGAGAGGAAGAGATTAGAAGCATCTGCTTTGGGTTTTAAACTAACCACAGTTCACTGGGATGTCTGAAATCAGGTAACTATGGTTCGTTTTGTGGTTCCAGCTAGGACCTGAAACCAAAATGACATTTCTCACCTATTTTAGGGTTGTCAAAAAGTGGAAATCAGGACACAAAGTTGCTCAGTTGTTGTTGTTTTTGAGGGGAGGGCAAAGTTGTTGAGTTGTTTTTGTGAAATCTCAAAAAAAGACCTTTTTGAGCTATTTTTAATGAAATTCACCAAAAGCTATGCTTCCAACATGGGTTGCTATATGTCTGGATTTTCCTGGACATTTAAGCTATTCCTGTCCAGACACTGTTTCAGACAATCGATTCCCGGTTATGTCCAGGAAATTCCGGCCATATGGCAACCCTACCTAATTTAGGCTACTGGAATAAAGAAATTTAGTTAGCAATAGACTTTTGTGTGAAGGGCCTGTGAATTCAGAATATGCTCAAAGATTATATATGCCCTTTAATTCTAACTATGTATTTTGCACCTGGTTCTGGTTGGTAGAGCTTGGGGTTCTAGTAGAAAAACAGAAAGCAAAATGAAGCATGGATCCAGGAAGTATGAAGCCTGTCCAGCACCAGGGGTGGTGAACTTCTAGCTCGTGGGCCTAATTTATCCTGGAAGGCCATTCTCCCCAAACTAGGTCCACTTTCCCTGCTGTCGCCACATCACAGGTGACAGCAGGTGAAGGCATGGCTGCCACTGCTTTGAAGTCCGTTTCCAAATGACCTTCATTGAAACCAATTTCAGATGTATTTCAAAGGTGAGACCGCTTGTCACCAGTCCCGTTCCACCAGTCAATGTTGGCCCACGGAAGGATCGGGCTCAGTTCCCCAGCCCTGCTGCAGAGGCATAACCGCATCCTGTACCCTTGGTGGGCAGAACAGGAGAAAAGCTACAGCTACAGCCCCTCAGAATTCTTCTCATTTTTCATGGCAGAGAAGCCAGGAGGACAATGGCACCAATTTTCTCCAGGAGGAGAGATTCTCCAACAGATCTTCAGGGATGGGACTCATTATTGGCGGCAGCAGCAGCAGCACAGATCGTTCCTTTTGGGGGGGGTGTTATCGGAGGGGTGTTGTTTTTTATTGTCATTACACATAGTGGAACCTTGGTTTTCGAACGTAATCTGTTCTGGAAGACCATTCAACTTCCAAAATGTTCAAAAACCGAAGCAGGCATTTCCAGAAGCATTTCCATCCAGAAAACTCAATACGGAAGATACATGGCACGTTCGGTTTCCAAAAAGTGTTCGAAAACCGAAGCAGCTACTTCTGGGTTTTCAGTGTTCGAAAGCTGAAATGTTCGGCTTCCGAGACGTCCAAAAACCAAGGTACCACTGTATTCTGGTTTTTATGTTGATCTTTTATGTGAACTGCACTGAGACCTCCTGGTATAGGGCGGTGTATAAATTCAATTTATAATAATAATAATAATAATAATAATAATAATAATAATAATACAGTGGTAACTCGGGTTAAGAACTTAATTTGTTTTGGAGGTCCGTTCTTAAACTGAAACTGTTCTTAACCTGAGGTACTGCTTAAGCTAATGGGGCCTCCCACCTCTCCAACACAGAGACTCCCCCATCCATCCCTAACATTATACCCTCCCCATCATACTCCTGCATGGAATTTGACCACACGTGACATCTGCATCTCAGAACCAAGGCAAGCCGAAAGATTCAGCATGCGCACGCGGGCACATATTTGCACAAAAGGAAGGCAAGAGACCATGCTGAATTGGGTAAGGCCGCACCTACCTGGCTACCTTCCTTCTGCCAAAACACAGCTGGCGGTGGGTTTCCTTTGGTCTCGCACTGAAAGGTCACAGTGCGGCCTTGGGCTACAATCTGATCCCGAGGACGGGTCACCAACTGTGGTGGAACTGAGAGAAAAGGAGAGGCAAGACAAAGACAAACAGGTTTAAGACTTTGGGGGAGTTAAGACCTGGACCCGTCCAGCCCTAGGTTTTTCCTTTCCAAACCCAGCACTATAGCCCTGGGATTGGGTAGATGTGCTCCTCTAGATCAACCACGGCTCTCCTCATCTCTGACCTTTGGACATGCTGGCAGGGGCAGGTGCTGAAGTCCAACACCATCATCTGGAGCAGCCTTTCTCAGCCTGTGGGTCACCAGATGTTGCTGAACTACAACTCCCATCACCCCTAGCTAGCAAGGCCAGAGCTCAGGGATGATGGGAGTTGTAGTCCAACAACATCTGGGGACCCACATGTTGAGAACCGCTGATTCTGGAGGGACATCAATTCTCCATTCTTGTTCCTGGGCGCTATACTCTGCTGTCCTGTCTCTGGGCTATTTGCGGGTGCTTGAAAATAAAGGTTCTGCCCCAAAGACATTGACAGCACCCGACATCTCGGTTGGTTAGAGCAGCATTTCCCAACCTTGGGCCTCCAGCTGTTTTTGGACTACAACTCCCATAATCCTTAGCTAGCAAGACCAGTGGTCAGGGATGATGGGAATTGTAGTTCGAAAACAGCTGGAGGCCCAAGGTTGGGAAACACTGGGTTAGAGCATGGTGCTGATAACGCTAAGGTTGCAGGTTCAATCCCTGTATGGGACAGCTGCATATTCCTGCATCACAGGGGGTTGGACGAGATGCTACTCAGGTTCCCTTACAATTCTATGAGTCTATTAATAGATGTATTGTGTAGCTATCTTTTCACCCTCTTATAAAATAGGGAGGAAATAACTACCTATTAACCTCTTGTGTCATGTGAAATCTCGCCTCTGGAAATAGAATGTCTGGACAGTCAAATACAGGGCCTTCATTACTTTCTCTCTCTTAACTGGTTTGAACTAATAATAGTTATAGCAGCAGCCAGTGAGCTTCATAAGAGTTAGCCTCTTTTAATCCAGATGGAATGGGATCCTCTTGTGGAATGGGGTTGTGAAAATTGTGTTGTATGTTGTGTGTGATTGTGTGGGTTCTGACCCTCTTCTATCTGGCTCCGACTCATTTATAGCTCGCTCGTTTGGGGAAGGGGTGGAGCTTGCTGGTGCGACACACATGCTTTGAGTGCAGAAGGTGCCAGGTTCAAGCCCCACCATCTCCAGGTAGGGCTGGAAAAGACCCCTATCTGAAACTCTGCAGAGATGCTGCCAGTCAGACCATAAGGAACTAGTTGGACCAGTTGTCTGATTCTGCATTCGGTGGCTTCCAATGTTTCTAGATATCTGGAGCACCTGCTTTCACAGTATATGGGCAACCCAGAAGATTTTAAAGCAAGAACAGCAAGAGGCATTTAACAAGGGAAGAGATAAAGAAAGGAGAAATGCAAACCACTGGGGTATGATAAAGCAACACAAGCTATAACTTCACAGAGGAAATCAAACATATTAATGTGCTTCCAGATAGGCTTGGACTTTTATTTATTTATTTATTTAAAACCCAGTCTATAAATGCATGCAAAGGATATCATCTTGCAATGGAAGAAAGGAAAGGAGGAGACAGAGAGAGGCAAGAAAAGAAAAAAAAGACCCTCTAAATCAGCCACCCGGCCATAAATAATGTTGCAGATTTAAATTCCTCCCTGAGCACCTCTGCCTGGTTTGGAACCTTTTCTCTCCTCTCAATGCAAGACAAATGGCACGGGGGTTTTACAAATGCTAATCGCCTACCTTATCTCCTCTTTGCCCTCCCTCCCAAACTACCTAGAGAAGGAGAGAGAGAGACAATGCCCCATTCCTCTTGCAGAGCTGTAAAGTATTTATAGGGCACCAGGCACTGTAAGAAAGGGAGGGAAGGAGCTTCAGGTGTACTATTGTCATGCTGATCACTGCAAGCCTTACTTTAATGAAGTTGTGAGTGCTAGGTTACCCGCATGCTAATCGCAAGGGGGGTGTGACTGCTTGTTAACCAGCCCTCCCCCATCCAGAAGTCTTTTCTGGCAGAATTTCCATGGAATGGGGAAAAATCCTCCTGATGTTTAATAGTTATTGACTGGCGCTAGAAATGGTTCATGGGAAGGGGTGAGTATGTGTGGATCTATGCAGACAGGGGTTAAATTTGCAGCAATGCCCAGTTCCATTGCCCCCTAAAGGTAAACGTAAAGGGACCGCTGACCATTAGGTCCAGTCATGACTGACTCTGGGGTTGTGGCGCTCATCTCGCTTTATTGGCCGAGGGAGCTGGTGTACAGCTTCTGGGTCATGTGGCCAGCATGGCTAAGTCGCTTCTGGCAAACCAGAGCAGTGCACGGAAACACCGTTTACCTTCCCGCCGAAGCAGTACCTATTTATCTACTTGCACTTTGACGTGCTTTCGAACTGCTAGGTTGGCAGGAGCAGGGACCGAACAACGGGAGCTCACCCCGTTGCGGGGATTCGAACCACTGACCTTCTGATTGGCAAGCCCTAGGCTCTGTGGTTTAACCCACAGCGCCACCCGTGTCCCTATATCTTTGCAGACAGGATCTATGCAGACAGGAGTTAAATTTGCAGCAATGCCCAGTTGCATTGCCCCCTATGTTGCTCCTATTCCAGGTCCTGGGTTGGCTCACAAGAGCCACTGTGCTTGATAGTGGTGGAGAGAAACAGCAGTAAAGTTGGCAGCATGAGACATGTAACTGTGATTGCTATTTCAGGAACCAGCAGTGATGAATCATGACAGCAGTTACCAAAGTTTCACTGGAATTGGGTTGGACCAAAGATATGGGTCACTGATAGTCAGAGGTGATGGAAGTCCACTGTCTGGAAGACTGCAGGTGAGTTATCCCTTGGTGTATGATGCTCCATTCAGATGTCCAACTGAATGTGTGGATGTGGCACTTACTCAGCCTCAATGTTGTCTGAATGGGGTGCCCTCATGTTGTGCAAAGTCACTCAATTAGCATCATGGATGAGCATGAAACTCGGGTTTCTCATATCCAATCCTCCCAAACTCCAGCCAAGTTGCCACAAAGATATTTAGCACGTCTTGATTTATGATACTGGATCAGCCTTCTGTATCATTCTCCTTTGCCTCCAGATCCTAACATCTGAGAGCGCACAGTGACCCTTTGCTTCAACCCCAAGCGAACACAATCCTGTGTAGTTTTTGTCTTTCTACTTCCATGCTCATCAAATCACGTTAAGAGACCCATAAGCAAAGGCTGTTTTAAAATTTTATACATATTTGAAATAAATGAAGACACACACAAAAGATTGAGATAGAGTCTCAGAGAGGTAGCACACTCCGAAACCTGAAAGGTTTCTGAAATCTCACCCTTCAAAGGTTGGAAAAACAAATTTTTAGGGCCATACTACCAGCACAAAATGTACAAAAGCCTTGGGGTGATCAGGTGCTTAGGATATTTCCTGCCTTGATTTTTATCATCCTGACTTCCCAACGCTTGGCGCAAGCACTGTGGGTAACCAACCCCCCCCCAAAAAAAAACATCAAAAGTTGGAGGGTAGGGTCAGGCCCACTTCTACAAACGTCTGTGTAGGGTATTGTAACTTGAGGCTGTGGGTCAGGTTTCGTCACAGTGTCCGGAACAACCTCATTCTCTTTCTCTCCATTTCTCCCCCTCTCCCTCCCTCCCCACGTTTAATGTCCATAAATCCTGCGAGGGAGGGAAGCGAGGAAAAGAATCTGCCAGCCTTTTCTTTTGGGCTGGCAAAGGCCACTTCTCCTTTGCTGAAGGTCAGGCTTTGTCCCCTGGAAATCACTTCACCAAATGATGTGTGTGTGTTATGAGGGAACCTGGCAGCCAGCAGCCACAGGAAGGGTCATTTGGCTGGCACTGAAATCAGAGATCAGCTGCCTTGGGCCGATTCTGCGAGAAGGGGGTGGGGATGAGCAGGGACCTTCTTAACATGTGCCTGGATGCAAGGCAGGAGACCTCTGACCTTCCAGAGCAACAGCCTGCTGTCTTGGTGATGCCACCTGCTCCACAATCAAATAAAAATGTAAATGGGAGGGAGGGAGGGGGGTCCATTTCAGCTCTTTGGTTAATGGTTGCTGGGAAAGCCCTCTTCCCAGATTACACACACACACACACACACACACACACACGGACTGCACCAGGCGCCACTTCAAAGGCTGGAGGAGTCTGGATGATGGAAAGGATATTGTGACTCAGGAAATTCATTACTGCCCCTCCAGCGATGCCTCACCCCACTTCAAAGGGAAAGATAAAGAAAGAAACTCAGAGGGCAGGAACGACCTTGGGGCGTCTAAGGAAAATGGTCCCTGCTGCCCACAAATTCAGCATGGAGATAAGAGATGATGGCTGGCCAACCCCCCACCCCCCCTCCAGGCAGGAAATTGAACTGGGTTGCTGGCTGCCTAGCAAAGAAAGGGGGGGACCAGGGCAGGCAGCGTCTCCTATCACCTGGCATCTCTCGCTCACCTGTGGGCCCTTATCTTCACAGCTACAAGAAGAGAAGCGTGCTTTGTTAGAGAGGGTGATTTATTGGCAAAAAGAAAAGGGTAGAAGGAGAAGAAGGAGAAGATAAGCCCTTGATGGGGCTGCTGTGCGTCAGAGGAAAGGGCAACAGCAGTTATTCCCAGGGTTGCTATTAGGGTTATGTAAGCCACAGAGGCAGGGCAAGCCTGTCGACCTGACAAGTGATGTCACAGTACAACAATGCATTTGAAGGCAAAGGCATGGCGCCATGGACTAGTTCACAAGCAGATATCCCCTCCCCTTCCTTTTTATTGCAGCTAAGCGCTTAGAGACTGGGGAAATTCATATTCTGCAATTACCTTTTTTGTTATTTATTTAGGGCCAACAGTGTGAAGGGTGCTTTATGGAGGGCAAGTGGTCAGGTCGCTGCCCTGAGGAGCTTACAGTCTAAAATTCACCCCAGGGGAAGGAAAAAGGAACTCGAGGCAGGTGGGAAACAGGAAAGCAACAGGGGCAGTGCTGGGGGTGGGGGGCCTGCAAAGGTCGTGCCAAAGGATTGGCAGAGAAGGTGGGTTTTGCAGAATGCTCTGAATGAAGCAAGTGAAGTGATATCAAACCATTGGTCTGGAAGGCAGTCCCAAGCATAATTTCTGGGGTTGCACCAGAAGGTTTCGTGTGCAAAAAAGTCAAAAGTCTGGAAACTTTGCGGTATGTGTTGAGAACACTGGGGGGGGGGGAGGCGGAGGAAATGAATTTATTTTTATAATTTGTCCAGTTCTCTCACTTACTGGGAAATTGGGCAAATCCTGAAATCAGTTCATTCACTGAAAGGTAAGTCGCAAGCATCTCCAACACAATTTGTTTTATCCCATGTATGCAGCAATCACCTTGCTTCAAATGGTGGTAGGAAAAACTCTTTCCCGTGAGACTCATCAATGTTGATAAAGTCTTGGCAAAATAGGGTATAGGCAAGGGAAGGAAACTTGATTATCAGTGGGAAAGTTACATTTTTCTTAGAAGAGGGGTAGTAAATGTGGTGCCCTCCAGGTGTTCCTGGACCACAACTCTGATCATCTCCGGCCAATGGCCATGATGTCTGAGGCTCATGGGACTTTGAGTCTGACAATGCCTGGAGGTTACCACATTGGCTGCTCTTGTTGAAGAACAGAGAAGATTCCAAGAGAGTCAGGACTGAAATGTGCCCATTGTGGAAGACAGAAGCCAAGCACAATCCTAT